TAGAGGTTTTCTTATGAATTTACGACTTTACCACATATTTTCTGAGGGCTACTGCCTGTGCTGTCCTGCTGCTTATTAGTTTTGATGCAGAGGCTTCCTGACTCCAAAGGGAGCTTATCTAGGTCCTGTCCGAAGAGGTGACCAGAAAAAAAAAAAAAGAAAAAGAAGAAAAAAAATCAAGGCTTCCTTTGTTTCTCCCCCTGCATAGTCCTCCCACTTGCCTACTGTACTCCTCCACTATCCAGACCCCTGCAAGCAAGAAGCGAAGCATCCACGCATATCAATGTCCTTCTCTGACATATAAATCCTCAAATTTTAATTCTTGTGTAGTGCCAGGTAGAGAGACGTGATAGTCAGACTACAGGAATAAAAGGACAAAAAAAGTTATGGATTTCTTACAGATTTAGATATATGCCCAGAATGTTTCCCTTTCACTTATTCCAAATTTTAGACCATTGAGGTCCAAACCTCAATACTTTAATACTGTCACTGACACTAATTAAAATATTTTCCTATTTACATTGTATTCTCTTTCACAATCCAAACCACAAAAGCAGTTTTCTTTGAACTGTTTGAAATTCTTTTTTGATATAAAGTTGTTAGTTCCTGCTAAATATTTCTCACTTCCCCCAAAGCAATTAAAACTCATGTCATCCTGCTTTACACAAAGCTTTTACAATCATTTATCTGCTACAGACTCTTTTCCACCTCATGTTACGCATCACTAAAAAACTTGACAGATCAAATCTTCACTCATCTGCTTCCTTTGCTAAAAGTTACCAAAACTATTCAGATCTAGAAAATCGTATTTTTATGAAGCTGTATGTCTTTCAATAACTCAATTGCCTTTTTAATTTCTTCAATAGCTCCAGCTTCCAGAAGCATAAATATTTTCCCAGGCATGTTGACAGTAGGTAAAGCAGCAGAAAAACTAGTAACACTTCAAAATGATAAAACAAAAAAACCTGTTTTAATCAAGAGAAATTTAGATAGCAACAAAAAAATTAAACTTACTTTCTAAATATAAAACAGCAGTTAGAAGAATGGTCTAAACATCAAGAACAAATCACTAAAACTAGCAGTTTCTAAATAAGCCAAAAAGTCTGTTTTAAGTCAGATAATGCACTTGATGATAATGATTTTGTTCTCCCCTATTCTTAACTCTTAAGGAAAATTACTGTAAAAGGTAGCCCTCTTTAAAAGTGGTAGTGGAAAAAAGTTGGCCTAATCACACAATGTCATCTTTTTATATGGAAACAAGGGTATTTGATCATTCTAGCTGTGTCTGTACAGTATCCATCTCCTCCAACTCCATACCCAATGCATCTTGTATCTCTTGGCCAATCATTCAGGAAAGGGATCACAAAAAGATTTTCATCTGTACTTTTTACAAGTTTTCCTTAACAAATGGGTGGCTGTGAAGATGTGAGCGACCCTAAACCCCCTATTATTTGAGCCACCTGACAAGAGGAGCAGCTGAAATAAGCTGCCCAGAAACACTTTGTCGAGCTGCCAGACCCAGCCAGAGTGCACAGGGGACACAGACAGGAGCAACAGATAATGCTGGGTGAAGGAATATAAGAAGCCATGGGTGCATTTGAGGGGTGGCAAGAAGGAGGGAGAAAAAAGCGGGGGTGGGGGTGCACATGCATGTGCACACAGGGCATAGGAACATACAGAGGGAAGCCAGAGGGACTGCTGCTGGGGTGGAGGGATAAGCAGAAATCCTTCTAACCCCAGATGTTATTAGTTCTACCGTTCACAGAAAAACCTGGTTATTTTTTCTTCTTTTTAGGGTGGGAATGACTAGGAGAAAAGACGGAAGGCTTTGTGGGTTTTGGGTTTGGCTCCCCCCCCCTCCACCCTCTCCCACTTAAAAAGATGATCTCAAAGGTTTTTGTTTGTCTGCAGAATTAGAAATTGTCCTTTCTTTTTTTAGTATTAGAAAATCAGTTATTGAAAAAGATGAAGAAAATAATTAAGAACCAAAACACAGAATTACAGCTGTAAAATATCATATTGAGAAAGGTGAATTTGCTGAATAACTGAGAGTATTTAACAGAAAAGAATCACTTTAGACATTCCCAGAAGATCTTTTTTCGTAAGACCGGCAGAAGCTAAGAGGTCACAGCAGAGAAAAAAAAAATACATAAAACCCCATTGTAGAACAGCTTAACTTCTCAAATGCTTTCCTTTTTTTTTTCCCCCTCCCAATGACGTCATTGACGCAAAGAGTAAAAAACAAAACAAAAATGCCTGGATACAGACTATTTTCTGAATCTTCAGAACTTTCTCACGTGCCTAGGGAAAAACAGGTGCTGTTAGAAGTGGTGTGTGCTTCTGAGCGCTTAAGGGAAGTCATATGCACTTTCCTCTCTAAAGACGATTTCCCTTTCTTCCCCGCAACTGGTAACATATTAGCAAACTGCCATGAAATATTTCTGATACATTTCAGTATCAGTTTAAAAAATAAAACCAACAACTTTAAAGTATTAGACTAATTGTTTTGGTTTTAATGAATATGTAAGAAGAATTAGTAGATCTAAAAATCTAAATTACTTGTCTATACAGGCCTTTATTACAGGTTTCACCAATGCCAGAGAATTTACTCTGGAATGAGGTAGCTGCTGGGACCCAGGTGACTTTACTTCTATGTCATGAGACAGCTGTTAGATGCAGCTCTCTGCAGACAGACAAGGTTAGTCAGCCCCTCACTCCAAGAAAGACCAAGAGGCACCTTCACAGCCTCATCTCTAGAATGAATCACTTTCAGGTTAGCCTAAGGCAGGCCAGGGAATAAACACCATTAAAATAAAAACAAAATACCAAAACCAAGTACATTTACACCGCTGCGCAACAGACCACCAGTAAGGGAAAAACTGTAAAGAAGCCTGTAGCAAAAGAAGATTGAAAACACAGTAGTGCCAGCAGGAAACACCAAAGTAGCTCTGGAGCTGGGAAGACTGGAGACACTAGATAAGACAGGGAGGTTTGTGTTCCATAGGAAAAACATAAATATAGATTTGGATGGTGGTGGTTGTGTTTTTTTTTACTTTTCAAGCAATTAACATTTCAAAAATCATCTCTACATCCTGCATCATTTTCCAGGGGGTGCTATCGAAAGCAGTACCATTTAACGCAGCACCTGATACGCACTCTCTTCCTAGAAAGGCATCAGCCAGACTGCAGTAGTGTGTTGTTACACTGTGGCGGTCCTTTCCCTCTCATATACATAGAAGAGCACAAAAAAGGGTGATTCAAGAATAAAATGAGCCATCTAATTATCCTGTTGGACAAAGCCACCAAAGTGGGCTTTAGGTGTGATCGTATCGGTAGTCATTTTGGAGTGGTACTTTCTTCTCGCTGGCGTTGTTTGGAGGGTGGGGTTGTTTCGGTTTTGCTTGCTTCTGTTACTCCTGCAGCAACTGTGAGTATTTCGTATTTGTGTGAGAAATCCACCTTTGGACTGCAATTTTTCAGGTGGCAAGCTGTCACACTGAGCCCCACGTGTTATTGTTTTCAGTTGAGATGACTCTCTTTAAAGTTCTGTTACACATCTGGTTTCATGATCTCTCTGTTCTTATCACAGGAGATATACAACATTATAAATCATTTTTAACAGAGAAGGAGATTTTAGGGTATTCCAGTTAACCAGCGCCAATTAAAAAAAAAAAAAATCATAAAAAGACTCAAGTTATTATTGTACATGACAATTCCTATCCCTTTCTCTCCATTGCTTGAAAACTTATGTGACAGTCTTCCTTTTTTAAAGAAAGTATCACTATGAAATATTTCTTTTTTGGTACTAGTAAGTTTTCTTTCTTGTGAAATAAACAGCAAATGAAGGACTACTCAAAATAGATATCCCTATCTCCATTTTTTGAATTAACAAAGCTAGTTATAATATTCATAACCAAAGACACAAATTTAAAACTGCATCCAACTCCTGTCACCTTCTATAAACAAACACCGTTACAAAAATACTGCATGAACTTTTGGTCTCTTAACAGGCAGAATTTAAGAAGGAAATGACATAACCTTTCAAACTAGTGTTACAAGAAACTGTGGAGTTCAAAATAAATACCACAGGAAGACAGTGGATATGTTTCATGCATGCTGCCTATGTTCCTATTCACAAGTCCACACAAAGCACCTATCTTGTCAATATGATTGATTTCTTTATGCCAGATTAACTTTTGTGGTGAAAGAAGGGACAAGTCCCCAAGAGGTCAGAACGAAGAGCATAAGACAGGATATTTCACGCCTAGATAAACTAGCCGAAGCATCATAAAAATTTGCAAAGGATAACCTCAAAAAATCATATCTCTATACGATATCTTGGGCACAAGCTAACTGTGATTCATTTGTGTGTGCAAACAGTACTAGTCAAAGCTATCTCATTTAACAAAGAGGGTCATCACCCAAATTAGGGATAAACGCATATACACAAAGTACCAGCTATACCCTTAATTAAGAAGTAGCTGTGACTGGATCAAAAAGAATTACATCATTGCTATAAAACTGTTAGAGAAAAACAGTGATTTTAGTGTTGTTCTTTGTAAAGACTGTTTTCCACTAATTTCCCAACCCCTAGGATTAATGAAACTGAAATACTTGTATATGATGATCCATTTTTTCAGACTATTTTCTGCATTTCTGAATATCACAGCAACAGAGCACAGAAGACCTATTGAAAAGGGACAATTTTGCTATATAGTCTTACACAATTAAGAATAGGATTCAAGGATTTCTTTATGGGACTGGTTCTGAGAAAAGACTTAGTGAGAGTTACAGGATACCCCAAAGAGGAGCACACATTCAACTTCACAGTATTGGAAAGGGGAGGATGGGGAAGGATAAAAGTTTCTGATAGCACTAGTTTGCTTAAAATTTTGCGAGTGCTAACATGACAGTTCCCTGCAACACAACTTATGATGTTGCTTAAGCAATATCTTCTAAGAAAAGCACTGCATTACATACATCAAACAAAAACTTCTTACCTATGACTTCCATCCAGATTGGATTTGTGGATGAAATTCAGTTTAGCATCTGCCCAATAAAGTTTCTGTTCCTCGTAATCCAACGTCAGTCCATTTGGCCAATATATGTCCGTGTTGACTATAATGGAGCGGCTTGAACCATCCATCCCAGCACGTTCTATCTTTGGCACTTCTCCCCAGTCTGTCCAATACATGAACCTATAATTATTTTAAAAAGAGGAAAAACAAAAAAAGAAAGCAATCACGTATGTATCTACACATTGGATACAACTTTCAGTAAAGGCAAAGGCGCTCTCTATTCTGCAGACAGTGCCTACGGAGCTCTGTTCTACTGGGTAAGGTACACACATCCTGTGAAACACAACAGAACAAAGTTACTTTACAAAAAGCTGAAGAAAAACAACTTAAGACAAACCCACAGTATTACGTCATGTTATACTTCCATGTGTTTGTTTCTTTCCTTGGGTCAAGTGAAAAAGTTTGGGATATCCAATGGATCTTGACAATAATCCCAGAATTCAACATTAAGCAGCAAAGACAGATATTACACACTATCATAAAAGGGGAAACAGAAAAAGGTGTGTGGACCTATAGTGGACATAGCAGTTGCACATGAAGCAGCCAAGTGGATTTGATGGAAGACCAATTCATGTCCTTTTCTTCCCAGAGAAATTCAGAGAAAGGCAGCTAAGTCAACATGTTTAGAAGCACAGTTTGCACCCACTGATCAGGCAAAACACTCCATAAATCTTTTAAGACTGGGGAAGCAAGTTTTAAAACATGTTAGTATATATTGTGATGTGTTTAAACATTATTTAGCAAGTAGTGGGGGAGGGAAGTTACCTAGTTCATTTAAGACTGAGGTGAAGCAACGGAAACCACTTTATTATGGCTGGAGACTAGTGGGGGGTAAGAATATTTGTCCTTTTTCTGCAGGTGGTAGAAAATGGATTTACTTTTGTGGGTTGTTATCAGAATGCATAACTAAACAGAAGTAACATATAATATAAACAGATAAGACAAAGTGTGTCAATGAAGCTTGCTCTGTTTTGTTGTTGCAGCTGGGACAGACAAAACAACTACTGTCCTAAATTGCTTCTCATAACCCCATGACATCTGCCAGCATACCTGCTTGTATCTGTGCTCCCTAACCTGGCTCAGTCAAAAAAATCCAGATTAGAAAAGATCTGAAGCCTTTAAACTAATGCAGATCATCACACAACCACAATATGTCACTATATGGTGCCCACATGTGAAGAGGCCTGGCCACCCATCCTTTAAAGAAAAACAAATGTGCAACACATTTAAGAAACATTTGCAGATGAAGTTATTCTTGGCAAAGAATTATTTTTTTTATTTTAAAAAGTCAGGAAATTCCATGTCATATTTTTCCCCTTAATTCATGTCTACAACGTGTTTGTTTTAATGCACAGCTATATCTGCAGACAGAAATGCAGCTGATTAACACAAATATTGCCCTATTCGATCCTAAGTGAATCATTCTTCATGGAGCAATGTGCCTGACTTAAACACAGAGCACAGATATCTGAAGAGAACATGTGAGATTTCTGTAGGCGTGAACGAGTGCTACAGAGAAACTGTTTTGCCACCAGGAAGAAGAAAAAAAACAAACAAATTTTCAGATAGGTAGCACAGTAGCAAGTCACCTGGTCAAGCTATGCAGTAAGAAAGCTACATACTTGAAAAAAGAAAAGTTAAAAGAAGTCAGGCAGCATTTCACCAGTGAGCACGTGTGAGAAAGAAGAGGGAAAGAGAGAGATTTATCTAAAATTCTTTAAAAAGACCCTTCTTTGCCCCAGCTGTCAAGTCCTAGACTTCCAAATATTTCATCAAGGTTAATAGGTTCCAAGGCCCTGGCCACCCTGCTAGTCTGATTTTTCAGGCTGAAACAGCTCATTAGTCGCTGTACAGCCCCATCTTCTTCCCCGTCTCCCTGAATGCATTCCAGCGCACAGCTCCATGAACACTTCCACTTGCACACAGGTTGTAGGTTTCTATAGCTGCCTCAACCAGCACGGGTGCCAACAACAGTCACTTTCTTACTCACAAAGTGCACTTATGCCCTTTTCTGCAACAGCTGAGCAAGTACAAGGTATAGGCACCAGGTATAGAAGCAGGAGGGGATGGGAAGAACTGTGTAAAACAGCTGGAAGAAACACCCCCGTCATAACCATGCTTTAAGTTAACTGCAACTGCTAAGAGGCAAGGGAGACCTGGCTAACATCCAAGGGAGAGTGGGGGGGATGGACAGACAGACACAACTGCAAATTCCCATTACTGCAGAGGTCTTTCTACAGATTTTTCTACAGAGATCTCAGATCCCCCTTCCAGGTAATATCAAACTGTTCACATATGTGTGCTGGTTCCTCCTTTCTGGAAGGCTTACAGATTCTTGTTTCATTATATAATGGTTGGTAAGTAATCCATATGGAGACCATACAGAAAGTAAGATGTTACGACATACATACTTATTGAACGATGGTAAGTCAGCCATACATACAAGGTAAGGGTCATTCTCCCTCCTCCCCATCCTCTTCAAACATGTTTAATTATTTCCATTAAAAAAAAAAAAACAAAACGAACCACAAACAAAACAAAAAACCCCAACAAACAAAAAAACACACAAAAAAACCCCAAACAAAACCAAACCAAAACAAACAACAAAAAACCCCAAAACAACCCAGCCACCACCAAAGCCCACAGGATAGAGCAAAATACTAACTGAAAAGTAATGTCTTGTGCTAAATTATGGCATTCAGATACTGTTCTGTTTGCCTCTCTTCTCTCCTAGTTATACTTTGCTATAAAATTTAAATCCAGGAATCAAGATTTTAATTCTAGCCCAGAAGAGGAGAAAATAAAAATGTAAAATTAAATTCTATAACACCCTTTGAATTTTAAGGAAAAAACCCATATGTATGTAGCATGTTTACTGCACAGTGGTACAGGCACAGAATTGGGCTCCATGCTGGGCAATCCCAAATCCGCAAGATCCAGAGGGCAATATACAGACACGCTGTAACTGACTTCAGCAAGCCTGAAACAGGACTGCTTTCTCATGCTTCTTAACTTTGGCTGATAGTACTATTACTCCAGGCAGTTACTACCAGGACAGGCTGGTACTAGAGCTCTGGACCTGCCCAGCTGCTTGTTACTGCCTCTTTGCTGAAGGTCAACCCCACCAGGGTCAACAACAGGGACTGCGAGCCCAGACCTCACTGCTGTACTTCACATACGAGCTACTTCATCCAAACTCATCTGTCCAAGGAGTTTAAAACTAGTATGGAGAAGCTGTAGTGCAGCAACACAATCAAATGTAGAAACTGCAAAACTGAATAAATGTACCCCTATGCCTAGGGATTTTTAAACATACATGGCATACTTTCTTACCTAACAGGAGTACCAGACTTAGCAGGAAGAGCTTTTATTTAGTATCAAATCAATCCATATAGAGCCAAATTTCTCTTCAACCTAACAAGAAATAATCCACAGCTGATTAAAATGGATCCCATTATCTAGTCTTCTTTTTCCTATTTAAATAATTAAATACTGCATTTTAAAAAACTTTGGTTTTAATATTGAACTGCTTCATTATTTTTCACCTGTTGTATTTTCTCCATACTGCTAAATGCCATGCTTGTCAGACTTTGCTAGCAGACTTTGGAAATGGCTGCGAGCTGTTATAAAAATCTAACAGAAAACCAACAACAACGAAGTGTATTTCTATTTATCTACACTTGTAATTTTAATATTACAGAGTCATGTCAGGAAATTATACAGCCCCCTCCCCCCCTTAAGGAATTAAGGCACATCAAGTATTTGACATATACTTATAGAAAAGAGGAAGGTTCTTAGACTGCAGTACTTAGCTGGTATTTTGTTTGACTGTGGCCCAGAATGTTGGTTTATCTTATAAGGTTATACCATCTATAAAAATGATGAAGAAATAGAGGAAGAACTTATTTTTACAAACTTTTTTCCATGCATCTTTAGATTCAGCATTTTTTAATTTTTGTGTCTTGGGTAGGTAAGGTCAACCCAGGCAATAAAAAACTTCCTCTTAAAAAGCATCAGAAATCACTATGCACTGTACAGCTGTAACTTCACAATTTTAATTTGCCCTAAATTAAAAGGTTTTGCCACGGCAAAGAAAAAGAGGAAACAGCGTTTCTTGGTTGCATTCTGTGCAATGAACAAATATAATAAATAACAGAGCTTCTTTTTTAAAAAGCTCATAAAGTTCTAGGCTCGCTGACGGCAGAATATCCCACATACATAGAAAAAAGCTTGCAGAGTACAAATACCAAGATTAAATGCTATAATTTAGCAGTGATTTCCAACAGTACACACAGAGGGAGAGAAATTCATCGCCAGCACCCATCAGCTTTGCAACTTTCTGATCCGCACTGCTCCCCACACCGATGCAGATCCTTTCAGCCCTACTATCCCGCATGAAACGAGGCTCCTGCTAGGAGTGTCATTAAAACACCAGCCCCCACCGAGATGCATGCAACTGTTTCACTCACTGAACAGAGTTATCCCACGCAACACTTAGCTGATTTTAAGGCAGTTAATTGGGACACCTTACAGGGCAGACAGACGTTTACCTTCCTGAACATTATTCAGTGGGAAGAGCAGCTGCTTAATTGGGACAACCAATTATTTGATGAGGCCCTTCACAGTGAATGCTCCAACTTTGCAATTATGCTCGTTTCAGCCCCTAAGAACCTCTGAGCTCTACAGGGACCCAAACAGCCACCAAACTTCAGAGCCCTCAAAGGTTTCAGAAGTGCAGCAACCCCTGTGGAGCTCATCAGCTCTGCAGTGGTCTTTGTGAAATGCAGCCCGCTCTGGCTCCAGCACTGGCAGGACTGGCACTCATCTAACGAAGAAATACAAAGTTAAATGATAAGCGCTGGAGTAATTCAGGAAAATTACACACAATAAATATGTGTTTGGCTACTGAAAATAGCTCTTGACTTAAGAAGAAGAAATGTTCGCGGCCCTTCAGGAGTTTAAGACAAGACATTCGAATCAAGTGACCCTTCAGGTATCCTTAACAGAAACTTCTTGAAGCAGGTTGACAGAGGAATGCAAACTGTAATCCAGAAGGACATAGTAAGTATCGAATGAAACAGAAAATGGATTTGCAAATAAGGAGACTAAAAGTACCACAG